AGTGGACCTGGGAACAACAGCAATTAAGAGGTAGTTCCATGCTCCTCAAAACCTCCCAATCAAAGGCTTTGCTTCCAGATGTAGTTGCTGATCTATGAGATTGACATAGCAGAACTTGACCTACCTAACCAGATGAACAAGCAAAGCACTGGATAAAAATACCTATTTTATAATACGGGAAATAAGGTTTGTGTTATTATTACTCTGATGTTTTTTTCATCTTTGTTACCCTTTCTAAAATTTGGTGCATGCTGATGTGAACAAGGATTGAGATGCAATGTGGGTAATCATTGGCTAGTGAGTGAAAAGTTTGGGTGAGGGTCGTGTTGTACGTTTACAGATTTTACAAATACTTTCTTGTAATTTATTGTACTATGGATTTTAGAACATTTGGTGGGTCAGCTGGTTCATGAGCATATTTATAAGGTAAAAATGAAAAGAAAATGAGTATTTTAGTCAAGATAAATATCTTATTGTTCAGCAATTACAAAATGTTTGATGAATGTTTTAGAAGAATTCGGAGTATATGCCTAGGTCCATCAAACAGTTTTTCTCCAACTTGTGAACTTCAGCCTCGCACCATAGATCAATTCATATTTGTGGACAAAAATGAGAACAATCCAGTATACATTCAACAAAATGAATTGAGACCCCATTGGATTAAAACATAGGTTTAATTTTCATGTTTAGTAAAAAATATTTAAGAATTTAAATTCTATTTTCATGTCCTTTAGCTCTCAAACATCTGAACTTTATCATATGTGGCACTTACATTAAGCAAGTTTAGCCACTCCTAGTATATAAAATTAATCTGAGGTTGTATATTTTTTAGTTGTTGTGCACATTTGTTTTTGTTCTCTATTTTTTTCTCCTCTGATGAGAGTGGACTGATAAAAGAGTTTAGTTATTTTATTTTCCTTACTTCTGGACAGCAAGTGTTACTTTGAAACTCTAACATCTCAATTTTACTGTTGGTTGTCATAAAACTTCTGGTTGCTCCAGGCCTAGATATAATCATTAACAGTCCTCTTGACTACATGGATGTCCTCACCAATTGAACAGGGACTCATTGTGCTACAGAATATTAATTAGTTGATATCTTATGAGCTGTTGTGAGAGAACTTATTCAGTGAAGTTTTCTGAAAATAGTTGTATATCAACCAGCAATCCATGAAGATATAACAAACTTGATTAATATAAAAGACACCTTGACTGCCAGTGTGTTCTGTCTGTCAGGTAGGTCAGACGTCTGAATATAATAAGACTGAATGTCATAAATCACTTTAACATATTATTGGTTGTAATAATGACCATATTCTTGGTCTAAGTTGATAAAGTCCTGGGTATGACAATAAACTACATCTGGCAGCAAGGTCTCTAATTGGGAGATTAGAGGTTTTGAGGATCATGGAACCACCTCTTAACTGCTATTGTTCCCAGGTCCACCATGACCCATGGTACTTAGCACATTAGGGCCCCAGCTATGGGTAAATAGTAAACTCCTAATCAAGAAGAAAACACTATGAAGTATAAAAATACATTTTTATAGTAAAAATACCAGCAATACATTTTTATATAAAAAATTACCAACAATGCATTTTTAAAGCAAAATGACTAGCAATACATTTTATAGTAGAATTACCAACAATACATTTTATAGCAAAATGACCAACAATACATTCTTTCTGTAGTTGAAGGCAAACAATTGCATTCAAAATATATTTAGTTAAAGCCATAAAATTGTGTTCAAAATATTTAAATTTTGGCATTAAATAATCCATAAAAAAGAACTTTCATGACATTAATCCATATAACATCCTACAATTTTTTTTAAAGAAATCAAACTGTATTCCAAAATATAACTTCAACAAAATTATAACATAAAATGCACATATCACCACCTCTAGTAATCATGTCCATGCAAACATGACACAAATGTTGAGTATCATCTATCATGTATTCAGTTGTGAAAGCAGAATATTTTTATTACTTCAAAGCTCTCAAGAAAATTAAATTTCAGCATTAAATGACCCTTAAGGAGTTGATAGGCCTTTAAACAAACAAATAAATCAATCTAAGTTGATAAATAAGAATTGTTCAGGTAATTAATCTTTTTCCTGAAACTTGTTTGAGATTCTGGTCATTTGGTTTGCTACCAATTCCTGAATAATTAATAATTATAACATTCACGGATAGAACTTTTTTGTGGCTTTTCTTGATATCAGATTTTCAAAACGGTTGATTTAAACAAGATGTTTGTCCACCTTCTAAATTCAGTGACCCTTCAGGACATAGGCAATCACGGCTTTCTACAATTTCCTGTCCTTTGTAGCACTTAGTAATTTTTGTCTTTTCACTATCTCTTCTAATCCCTATTCTGCCAACTATTTACACAAACTTGTTACATAGGTTATGTGCTGCTTTCTTTTATCCCTCTTGCCTTCAATATGTCCTATCAGTTTCAGATTTTCTAAGCCCTCTTTCCTCATTATGTACCCTATAAATTTCAACTATCTCTTCCTGATATTAAGTATAAGCATCCTTTTTGTTTTCATTATCTTTAAAACTTCTTTGTTAATCACATATTCAGTCAATGGTATTTCTCTTTGTGTATGTATTGAATTCATTTGAGATTGTTAAAATTTTCAAGCAAATTTTGTAACATTTGGATATCCCAACATGATCTAAACACCCAGCTACAACAAAAACTCACCCCATTACAATTAATGACCTTGACACAGTTTGAACATACAAAGGTCACTCCATTATAATAGTTATTTCCAGGTTTTAATTGAGAGGATACATTGTATTATTGTTAATTTTTGTCAAGGATTTCTTATTATCTTCAATTTCCTTTCAGACCATCAATCTATGTGGCTGGGACTGTTTACTAACAATTGTAGAATGAGAAAGTTGTGATAAAAAGAAATAGACAAGATGAAAGAAATACTAGTCAAAAATTGCTAATATGTTGTTTAGATAATAATTGAATGTTCCTTCATTTTATTTTACTTCTAAAGCCCGTTTGGTTTTTATTTTACTTTATCATTTTTATTATATCACACATTTATTTATAAACATCTTATAATTTTTGTAAACAAATGATCAAACTATTCATTATACAGTGTTTTATTTTAACTTCCAGTAATTTTAGCTGAGCCTGGCAAATTCTCAACTTTGAGCATTATTTCTTGCTTAAATTCTTAGTTTTACATGTGGTAATAAAAATTCAAAATACAAAGAGCAGGCATTTATTGCAAAACAAAATTTATTTAAAAATTTGAGAAATGTGAAATTTCAGATTAAAATTAAAGTTGTCTAAAACAATTTGAGTCTCACTTAATATATAAAAACTGCTTATCTCTGGCCTAATCTGAGCCTTGACATGCTTATAAGCTTCATGCTTAAAATCTGATCAATGAGCCTTGGCATGTTTATAATGAAATATATATAAGTGTTTCTTGTAACATAAATTCATTGCTTTTTTTAATTTTTATGCTTAGATCACTGGTGATTTTATTTGTCTATAAATTATATTTGGAATATTATTTTGTTGAATTGGGCTGTAATGGAACATGAATTTATTAAAACATGGCTGTCAAAATTTTGGTGAATACATTTTGCATTTAATTTAATATAAGATCACAAAAATACTAAGACTAATTTTTAAGTACAGGAAAATGGTTTTATTGTACAACAAATAGAATTAAATTTCTACTTATAATTGATTTTACTTATAATTGATTGACTACAAAATGTTCTATCCTTCATTTCTTTTCTGCTTTATGCAAAGCTTTTGAGAGAAATAAAACTAAATATCATGTTCTGCCATGCAGGACTTTTTGTGTAAGAATTTATCAACAACTTTAGAATTATGTCTTCCCCAGAACTCTATCCTTGGACCAACATTGTCCCTAATTTTTATAAATGACCTTCCTGATGTTATCAGTTCTCAACTCTGTATCTATGCTGATGATATAATTTCTTATTCCTGTCTAAATAATAAGCTTGATAATATCAAATTGGCAGTTGATCTAAAAAATTAACTACAATCTGTTGTTAACTGGGGCAAGAAATGGTTTGTTAATTTTAACACCTCCAAAATCAAAATGTTCTCTTTTAATCATCTGAGAGAACCCTTTTTATCTTCCATCAGCATGGCTGATGCTAACCTTCAGGAGAGTGATTCATTGCACTTTCTTGGACTAACATTTTCTACTGTCATGAAGTGGAAATATTATATTGAATTTGCTGCTAAGAAAGTTGGTTCACTGTATCATGCTAGACAATTTTTCTTGCCAGAATATATCTTACATATTTATAAGTTTACCATTTGTCCTTGCTTTGAATATTGCCTGGTGCTCCTACTATATATTTAAAGTTGCTTGATAAAATCCAACAAAGAATCTGAAATGTTGGTCCTGACCTGGCATCTCGGCTTCATTCACCTTCTCACTGCCATAATGTAGCTTCCCTGTACTTTTTCTATAAATACTTTCATGGTAATTGTTCTGATGAACTTTCTTCTATGCTACCTAGTCTCTATGAATTTAAACACAATACTAGAATGGTGGCAAGGTCTCATCATTTTATTGTTGAAATGGCTAGATGTAACTGTAAGTTCTATGTTAAGTGTTTCTTCTACTGCACTTCTCACTTGTGGTTTCTTGCTTCTCAGTCAACTTTGCTCTACAAAAATTTAAATGCAATGTCAATTGTTTACCTTTTGTCTTAATTCTTGTTTTTTATTATTCTTTCTCCTTAATAATGATTTTTTTTCTCATATTTTCTAACACACAGTAACACCTAGTGGCTTTGCCTTGCTTGGGATCAAATGATTAAAATAAAAATACTGATGAAAGTTGAGATCAATTCTAATAACTTTGTACTGAACTTTTTCTTTTTTTTTAATCTTATAAAAAGAGGGATGATGTCCATTGTATACATTTTATATGAATTTAGCAAACAAGTTGAAGAATTTTTATCTAACTTTTTTTCAGGAACCAGGTTGTACTTTTGTCACCATTAGCTTTAAAGAATTCTGGTCTTGAGAAATTATTATCTAATTTTTCACTTCTGTTGATTGATGAATGCCATTTAACAATTGAAGATCATCCTTACAACAATGTGATGAAAATTTACATTGACCACAAACTGAACGTCTCTTCAGTTTCTTTACCCCAGGTAATTATAAACCTTTAAAGATTCTTTTTTTTTTATTTGACAGGGTTTACTTATCATTATTTTCACTATTTACATTCAAACTATTGTCTTCATTGCTGTTATTATCACAATGTTTCTACTCTTGTGTTCTCCAACTTTCATCAGGTGTATATTGATCCAGGTAACCTACAGGGATTTCTGAACTGAACCCTTTATTTAATCTACAGGGGTAGATTATTCTCATTCCACCGCCCATGTCTAGGGATATTCTGTCTAGTTCTTATTTTTAGTACTGCCCAGTTATTGCTCTCCCTGTTTCCACCAAGTTCAAGTACACACTGCCTGGCCTAGTTATTGAACGCAAAATGACTATTTCAACAAATTTAAGATCCAATGTTTTAATCTACAAGGCTATTCTCTCATACCTGCTTTAGTTTTCAAACATTTTACCCTGAACTCTTTACTCTTCAAGGATAAATTGTTCTCATTCCATTGTCCATAAGTAACAACTAAACAATACTAAATAAATTTAATACTACTCAGTTATTGATCATCCTGTTTCCACTTCATGTAAGTTTGTACTACCCAGTACAATGATAGAACTCACAGTTACTATGTCACCAAATTCATGAAACTATTTTCCCATGAGCAGTGCTAAATAAGAACAAAGTAAGATATTCCTAGATATGGACAGCAGAACAAGAAGAATATACCCTCATATGTTAAATAAAGTGTGACCACACCATGGGACTATGACAGTTTTGTCAAACAAGCATTTGACCCCACATTATGATTTTTTTTTTTTTAAGAAGATGGCTTATTAGTGTTGGCTGAAACTGTGAAGATCCAGGTATGCTTACAAAGGGATGAAATTGGAGAAAGATTTACTTGGACACTCCAAATCATACAGTAGTCACTCTTTGATAAAAGAAGTTACCTTTATTTGTTCCACAGCACTTCTGAGGGGCAGCAGTGCATGTGACACTGGGGTCTGATGCAGCAACCACCATGGCACTCTCTGTACAGCCCGGTGATGCCACCCTTTTCTTTCTGAGAAGTCTTTTATATGTAGTCACACTGCCTAAACAATAGCACATCTGATCTTTGTTCGACCTGCTATGTGCCAATTTAAATAGACATTTTGAAAGTGTATTCCTTTTCTTTTTTTTTGTCAAAATAAAGTATTCCAAATATACATTATTAAAAAAAAATGTGGGTGAGAATGCTGTATTCATATGCATATCTTCACCTTATTTGATACAGCTGGAGATTAAACAAATCCTAACTTTGAAGACAAAATTACTAAAAAAATAATAGTGAATACTTTTAATTATATGGTTCACTTCGGTTACTAATAGTATCATTTAACCAATTCTTCTTCAATTAAGTGAGTAACCTAATTACTAAGAAATAAGTCTAAGCACAGCTAGCCATAGTGTCACAAAGTGTTCAGTTTTAAATTCCCTGAAGATTACCTGGATCAACAGATACCTGAAGAAAACTGAAGGGCATGGAAATATTATGATAAGATGAGGATATTTGTCCAAGTGTAAATAAAAAAAAATAATAATCAATGAATTTAATAATAAATTCAAAACAATTATATTATGTTTATTTTTTGCTTTTTTGTGCTTAAATCAACTTGTCTAAGCAGTTACACATCCTGGGTATGATGATAAACTACATCCAGCAGCAAGGCCTCTGATCAGTAAGTTTTGAGGAGCATGGAACCACCTCTTTGTTGTTGTTCCCAGGTCCATTCTGACCCAGGGTGGTAGCTTCTGTTAGTGCTCCAGCTATGGGCAAATAGTTAATCCCAAAACTGGGGTCAAAACAGTATGAAAGTATAAAAATAGAATTTTCTGGTAAAGATACCAGCAATACATTTTTTTAAAAAAATATGTTACCAGCAATACATTTGACTCTCGACAAAACCCCCTTTACAAAAATATGTCTATGGCACCTGATCTATAAACTTATTTCTTACAAAGAATACATATTCTATTCAGACAAATGTATCCTAAAAATCTTGTCAGCATTAAATAACCCATTGAAGTTGATATACCATGAAACAAAATAATCCAAACCAAACCAATCTAAGCAGTTACCCATTTATACCAGATTCAAACTCTTGAAAATTGCAGTGTTGGGTGTGAGGATATGTTATATCGTACCTATTGATGATAATGGGTATGTCCCAATTCCTATAAATACAGTGGTATATACTGTATGTTGTCTTCTACTTGGGACTCACTTGCAATTCATCTTGATTCACTTCTAGCTCACCACTAGCAGTTGATTACTTACTACATGCTGCTGGCAAATCTTGTATGTTGTTTCTATTATAAATATTATCATTCCATTTCTGACCTTTGTTTTGGTTATTCTTATTCAGTAACCTTTTCCTAGGTTACAACATTTTGGCAACAATGATTTGGCCCAAATCAAGTAAACATCACTAATATAACATTTTGATGACAAGGACTGGCCAAAATACAACATTTTAGTGACAAGGATTTGGCCAGAACTCAAGGAAATATTCACCAACACAACATTTTCCGAACAAAGATATCATCAAAATCTCACATTAACTATTCACCAAGACTTCATTGGCAAAGGAAAATTGTAAAAGTACCAAATTGTGCGAAATACAACAGTTGGCATAATACAGGATTTTATTCCAAATACAAAAATGTAACAAAGGTATGTGAAATTTAAGTTTACAAAATTCATGTATTTTCGAGAGTGTTTCTTGCTGTAAAAGTGTTACATAGGAATACTTAAAATGTTTTGACAAACAGTTGTGTAAAAAAAAAATAACTTTTGTGAAAAGTATTTCAGATAAAATTCAAAATGGAGGGTTTTAAAGCAATACTACTAGAAATAGTCAACAACAAAAAAGTACAAACAAAAACTCAAAAAACTCATTGAAATGTTGGTAGAACAACAGAAAATGTTCACAAGAAATAAGAATGGATATTCAGAAGATGCTATCATAAATGCAATTGCTGAATTTCACTATATACCAGAAGAAAAGGTAACTTTTTTGTTGTATTTCTGTAGATGGAAAGACTTTTACAAAACAGATTGTGCAAACTGGTCCGATGACAAAAAGGTCAGACTTTTGCTAAGGAAACTGGGCGCTGTCAAACGCACAAAGTTCATAAATTACATATTACTGAAGAAAACTGATGACCTAACATTTAAACAAACGATTACTTTTCTTTTGGAAGTTTTCAGCCCAAGGATGTCTTTGTTCCATGAAAGATGGAAATGTATAAACTTAGTAAAAAAGGAAGATGCTGATTTCACAATGTTTGTGAGCATTGTGAATGAAAATTGTGAGAAGTTCAAACTGGCAGAATTAAGCCTTGACAATTTTAAATGCCTGATATTTGTTCAAGGGTTGTTGTCAATAAAAGATGCTGAAATTCAGAGAAGGATTTTAAATAAACTGGAAAACGAACCTAATCTAACTTTGCAAAACCTAGCAGAAGATTGTCAGAAATTTATAAATGTTTAAGATGCAAAGAATTTGAAATAAGCAGCATGTTGCACATTAAAAAAGTGCATCAGAAACATAAGGTGAAGAAAGAAAAAACCATTACTCCTAACCCATCTTATGCATGTGGAGAATTACATTGGTATAAGGACTGTCCTTACAAAAAGAAAGAATGTTTTTGGTGTGGAAAAAAAGTACATAAAAAAAACCACTGTAAGACAAAATTTAAAAAACGAGTGAGGAATTGCATTAAAATTACTAATATGGATAAATGTACTGGTCAAAATATAAGAAAATTTGTGCAGGTAAAAATCCTGAACAAAAATATCAAATTGCAATTGGATATTGGATCAGATTTAAGTATAAGAAATGTTTATACATGGAGAAAATTGGGTAACCCAACATTAATGGTTACCAAAAAAAAATCGCTCATAGTGTTACAGGAAAGAAAAGAAAATTTGAAGGGGAATTCATGACAAATGTAACATTAAATGATAAAACTTTGAAGTTAAAACTTTTTATTGTGAAAAATACGAATAACCTTTTTGGAACAGACTGGATGGAGCAGTTTAATTTATGGAACAGTCCAATCAATTCTTTCTGCCAAAAAATTAAAGGTTTTACCAATGAAGCAGAAAGTTTAAAAGAAGAATTAAAAACTAAATTCCCAGAGGTATTTTCTGGTGAGTTAATCAGGTACAAGAAAATGAAAGCTAAATTCGAGCTTAAAAGAAAATGTACAATCAGTTTTCAAAAAGGAAAGTAATGTACCATTTGCACTGTTAAAATATTGATGATGAGCTTGATAGACTTGAAAAATGTTTGTTTTATCAAAGGTGGAATATAGCAATTGGGCTTCACCAACTGTATATATAAAGAAAAAGTCAGAAGAGATACGTTTCTGCGCAGATTTTTCCATAAGTTTAAACAATGCCCTCAAAAATTATCATTAGCCACTTCCATGGCCAGAAGAGGTTTTTGTGCAATTTAGCAGGGGTCAGATATTTTCCAAAATCGACCTAAGTGACATGTATCTTCAGATTCAAATGGACAAGGAATGTGCAAAATTACTGACCATAAATACACATCGAGGAATATATAAATTCAATTGTTTGCCTTCTGGCATAAAAGTTGCTCCAGCTATTTTTCAGCAAGTAATGGACACGATGCTGAGCGAACTGGACTTTATAATTGCTTATCTTGACAATATTTTGCAAAAAAGTGAAAACCCAGAAGAACATAAGAAAAATGTTTTTGAAGTTTTCAAAAGAATCCAGGACTATGGATTCAAGCTGAAGGACGAAAAGTGTAAATCTTTTATGGACAAAATTAAATATTTAGGTCAAATAACTGACAAGAAGAGCAGAGGACAAAATCCAGCACAAGCCAGTGCTATAAAAGACATGCTTGCTCCTCAAAATGTCAGTTCCCTACAAAATTTCCTGGAGTTAGCAAGTTATTATAATGTATTTGTGTGAAATACACATTGTTTGTGAGCTCCGTTAAATAAACTATTGAAGCAAGACGACAGAGTGCCAGGAAGCATTTGAGAAAATTAAAGAAATGCTAATATCAGACTTGTTTTTGACACACTATGATCCAAAAAAAGAAATAATCATAGCAAGTAATGCTAGTGTGTACAGTATAGGAGCCTGCATTATGCATAAACTAGAAGATGGCTCGATTAAACTGATTGCACATGCATCCAGGATGCTTCTTCCAGCCAAAAAACTACTCCGTGATAGAAAAGGAAAGTCTAGGGATTGTCTTGGCCCTTAAAAAATTTCATAGATTCATTCATGGGAGATGGTTTACTTTACAAACAGATCACAGACCATTGTTAGCTATTTATGGGTCCAAAAAAGGACTACTGACTCATATGGATAACAGGTTACAATGATGGGGAACCATTTTACTAAATTATGACTTTAGAATGGAATTCTTACCATCGTGTAAAATAAGTCACACTGGCGGTTTGTCCAGACATATTCCAACAAATAGTGAACCTTTGGAAGACACGATCATTGCTTCTCTACAATTGAATCGGAAGTAGAGATAAAAAATGTACTATGCAGTACTGTGTGGTAACTGCCTGTGATGTAGGAAGAAATAAAAAGTAAAACATTGGATAACAAGTTTATTATTGAAATGGAGAAAAATCTTAAAGACAAGAGTAAAGCAGAATCTGAGCTATATTCAATGTGCGATGACATTCTCATGTACAGTGAAAGAGTAGTAGTACCTTTGGCACTACAAAAGAGAATCTTGAAAAAATTTCATACATGACACTCTGGTATATCCAGAATGAAAAGCTTAATGAGAAATTACATATACTGGCATAACATCGATAGAGACATTGAATGTCTGGTAAAGTCATGCAAAGGTTGTGCTTTGACAGCTAAAGCAGTGCCAATTAAGTTCAACTCATGGCCAGAAACTGACTGCCCATGGTCACGTCTGCATATTGACTATGCTGGGACGTATTATCTGATCGTCGTAGACAGTTTTTCCAAGTGGCCAGAGATATTCAGATGTAAGAAACCAATCACACAAGTAGTAATTCATTTTCTACATGAACTTTTCATGAGGTTCGTGGTACCAGATTCTATTGTTTCAGATAATAGCACTCAATTTACATTGAAAGAATTCAAGGAATTTCACACAATGTTTGTGGTAGAGCACATAACAATTGCTCCTTACCACCCTAGAAGTAATGGCCAACCAGAGTGTTTTGTGGATACCTTCAAAAGGGCTCTAAGAAAAGCCAATGGTGGATCCACAGATGCAGCATTACAGCAATTTTTACAGGTGTATAGGCTTACACCAAATAGAAATGTGCCTTTGGCCATGACTCTGACAGAAATTATGTTTGCATAGAAAATACGATGAGTTTTTGACAAGCTGATACCCAATAAGAAAAAACATGATCATATGATACAAAAATTTGGAAAGAAATTTTACAAAATTAGTCAAAAGGTTTATTAATGGATGTATCAGACAAATAAAACATATTGGGAAGTTGGAACTATCGTCCGAAGAATCATCAGTATGGTGTATCTAGTCAAAGGACTGGAAATGGTGCACAAAAGGCACTATAATCAAATAAAAAGTAAACATTGAATTGAAGAGAACAATACTCCAGACGAGGTTGAATCTATGGAGGTTCTTTTTGATACATTTGATGTACTCATCTCTCAGAAATCTCCTGAGAGAAACCAAAAAAAGACGTAGTAAGAGAAAAAGAAGGGATACAGAAAGGATCGAAATCAACTGACAAAGGAAAAACTATTGACTCTGTCCAGAGTAAATCCAAAAAGCAGGGTGTTATACTATACCTATGAATGATAAGGGTATTTCCTAATTCCTATAAATAATGTGGTATATACTGTATGTTGTTTTCCACTTAGGATTCATTTACAATTCAACTTGATTCATTTCCAGCTCACCACTAGCAGTTGATTACTTACTACACGTTGCTGGTGAATCTTGTATGTTGTTTCTGTTATAAATATTATCATGCCATTTCCACCCTTTGTTTTGGTTATTATTATTCATTAACCTTTTCCAAGGTTACAAAAGGATATGTGACTAAATTTGGAATTACTGTTGCCACCCCAAACCTGCTGTTTCCCTGTACAACTGTGGGTATTTTAAAGAGGATAGAATTTACTTTAAAAATAGTTTCTGAAAAAATATAATGGAAAATTGTCTATATCATTTTGGAGGCAATTGTATCATGAATCAGATTTGGATTTTTAAATGACTGAAGAGAGTATGCAACACAGCTAGTCTTTGTCTGCATTTTCTACTTAAACCTTGAAATCATCATCATCATCATGATCCTCATCATCATCATCATCTTCTTCTTCTTCTTCTTCTTCAGTCCCATAACATGACCAGTTTACTCTATGTATCTGTGTTGAAAGCCGGAGAGGTATTCATTCATACACACTGTGTCTTGGGCAAGTACCCCTGGTGGAGCGCTTTCCTCTCAGGGTCAAACCACAGCTGATGTCCTCCAACTTAAAGGCTTGTATGGCCATTGAATCTATCAGGAAACCCTCTGTTCTGGCTATTAGCTTCTGTCTTCGAAGCCAACAATGCAATATCATCAGGCTGGATGAATACATAACTATTGAGCTCAGTCTATGCCATTGTATTAAATTTTGTTGACCACTATAAGAAGCTTCATCAGCTCTTTGACAGGTCTGATTTTTACTTGCCACTGATTGACTAGCCACTCTCCTCACCAGAAAAGCTTGGTAGGGGAACCAGTGTAGTCACCAATGACCCAAACATGTGGCAGATTACTGGATTACATGGTACCAGGAGCAAATTATAGAGTGATCTAATATTCAGTTATTTTTAAAATCTGTAATTAAATGTAATTTATGTTTGCAGATTATTGGTCTCACATCACTCAGTCATGAAAACCCCCAAGATATTAGCCAAGCAAATGATCTAATCAAAATGATTTGTGCAAATTTGGATTGTGAAGAAATCTGTTCACTTCAAGATGACACCAACTATATTGCTTGCTATTCAAAAAGTATGTTGTTTTTTTTTTACAACCTCTTTGCCATATTCAAATATTTTCTTTTATTTACTTCATTGTTTATCCTATAAATAGTAATAATTTGTTCAAAAACTTGTATTGGAATGATGAAAGAACTGTTCAAGGTCCACATTCAGTCTAACAAGATTATTTAATAGGATATGTACAAGATAATATTAATTATAACATATACAAATATTATTTAATATAATCTGAATATTTTAGTAATGAACATAAAAATTCAATAATGTCTTATGAAAATAGCATTGTTTAGATTTCTTTTAACTGGATATCCAAATATGACTTAGGTTTATGATTAATCAAAGAGATGATTTTTGAAAATAATAAATGCATTAGAAAAAGCAAAATTATAAACTTTTTCATTTTGGTATAATAGGTAAATATTCAATAATCTGATTGGAACTATCCATCACAATTTCCAGTGATGGAGTGATAAAAGAGTGGCATATTTATATATCATCCTAGATGCTATATAGTATGCATGGTGATTGACTGCTTCACACTTCAATGTGATCATCAGACCAAACACCACTTACTTCTTTCAGAGATTGTATATATAGTGGGCTATGCATGTGGGTCATGAAGGGATTAAGGAAGGGGGACAAGATGAAACCCTTAACATTAACCCAAACCAAACTGGTCAATTTCCTCTTCTGTCATTAAAGGTTTTGTAATGTCAATGAATACTTGTTGTCACTTTCATAATGCTTGTTATAGTAGAGTCTTTGTAATCACAGTTACAACTATAGTAACACAGTTAAACAATACTAGTGTCAGAAGCCTTTGAATAATTTTGCACTAATAGTACTTGCTCGATAATACTCACTCGAACAGTAACCATCTGTATTGATCTGAATAGAGAATAGCGGACTGTATAGTAATAGGGGATAGAATTAAAATAGTGATCTGTATAATATAGAGGATAGACCAGAAATAGCAATCGTTTGGACGTCATGTTACTTTTTACTTATGTGTTTACTCTACGGTCACATGGTCTATTTAATTCAATAATGGGATCACTTGGTTTTGCTCACTTGTGATCTATGTTCAAGCTGAAGTGTTGGCAGCAACACTTTATACGTATATAACAAAAGGTGATGTATATGATAATGAAAAACAATATTCAAGCAAAGAAGATTTCTGAGAAGCAAGAAAACCTGCTGCAGGCAATGTTAAAGATGAAACAGTTTAAAAAAATTAGTGGAGAAAGACTGATGGGGGCTCTAGAATATCAAGGAACCTACATATAACATGTAATAGGATTAATGCAAATATAAAATTTGTCACTTAGCTGATTGATGTTATATTCCACACCCTGAATCCAGAGTTTCGTATACATAAAGATTAATCACTGATGCATCTCTGCTGAAAAAAAAAAAGTTTTACAAAGATTCCAACACAACACTTAAAAAACATCCCTGACAAACAAAATGCAATGATTTAACTTCATGTGATTCCCAGAGTATTTTTAATTTTTTGCAAAAGAGAAGAAACAGGATTGTCTTGAAAATTTGTTTTAAAAACAGTATTTCAGTTTCCGGGAAAATTTTTTATGTGTTGAAATATTTAAGCATTTTTACTTTTTAAGCGATCATTTTCTCAGTTTTATCTTTCTAGAAATGTAAAAATAGGGACTAGAAATTTTATTTTAATTACTAGCCATAGACTTCTGGTTAGTATTACTATTAGTAAAATAAAAAAAAAAATCAGAGATCCTCTTAAGTGGATGATCTCAGAATAAAAAATGATTGTCCAAGATATCCTACCCCCGCCTTAATTGATTTAAAAGAAATGTGCAGAAAGTTACAATTTTAAAAAAGTAAATGTGACTGAAATTAGCACTTCTGCCTCAGTTGGCATACCCCTCCCCCCTCCCTATATAGTTGAGAGGTTCAGAGTAGTAAGCACTGGCCCTGGCAATTATTATAGCTGATGATTGACAATACAACTTGGGTAGAAAAAAGTAAAAAGTACAAAAATCAAAAAAACACTACTGAAACTAACCCTTTTAGGGCTATAACCTTGTTGGGGGTTCCTGCATTGTACACAATGCACGACCATGCAGATACATATTATTAGTTGATGACTGAAAATGTAACATCAGTATGAGAATGATTTAAAAAAATATGAATGGTGAATGGCTATAAAACATTGCTGAAAAAAATGGCAGAGGTCACAATGGAGCCCCAAAAAATGTGAAAGTTGGGAGTTTCAGGAGTAAAACATGCTGGTCCTGCTTGGAGAAAGTTCATTTTTGATGGTCGCAATTGTTTTAAGTTCAACAGGGTTGAGCATTTAAAGTTGAAAAGCAGTCATAGGAAAGGTGATGTAAACTCAATCCCAGAAGATATTCAGTCTGAGCTCAGAGTATAACATCTGTGGGAAGGTTGTTCTAGTTCCAGATTTGCTAGCCATCTAAGATCACATGAAAATCAGCAGTCTAATGATGTCCTTCCTGACAGACCTGCACTATACTTATGTCAGTTTTGTGATACAATTTGCAGGCCTAACACCAGGCTGAAGCTGAACATGAAAGTTCATGAGGAGAAAGTCACTTTCATAACTTTCCAAAAGTTTTTTGTGTGTCACATATATAAAAAGGTGTACTGGAGCAAGACTGGTTTACCCATCCTGGGTATGATGATAAATTATATCTGGCAGCAACACCTCTGATTGGGAGGTTTTGAGGAATGTGAAACCACCTTTTAATTGTTGTTGTTGTTCCCAGGGCCACACTGACCTGGGTGGTAGCACCTGTTAGGGTCCCAGCTATGGGCAAATAGTTAACTGGAGTTAAAACACTATGAAATATAAAAAAAATTATATTAAAATTACCAGCAATACATGTTCATAATAAAAAAATTATCAGCAATACATTTTGTAAAAAAAATAAAATAAAATAAATTACTAGCAATACATTTCTGTAAGAAAAAAAATACCAGCAATACATTTTTTAAAAGCAATTACTAATGATCCCAAGAAAATTAAATTTTGGCATTAAATGACCCATAAAACAAACAAACTAATTTACAAAGTCATCTGCATTCCCATGTCCACTCAGCTCAATGCTGAAGAGACAGCCTTCTTCTGTAAAAAAGTGGCAGTTATATAAGTTATATGAGAGAATATATAATATCTAACTATATATCAGACTAATAGTGCATAACTGAATTACAAAATAGAAAAATCCTATGTTAGGTGTTTTGCCCTTCAAAGGATTTCTTCAGACTAAATGTTTTTGTTGACAGAAAAAATGTTGGTTACAATCTATATCAAGAAAACACTGAAGTATTACAATGTGGAATATTTAAAAACAATAGTGATAAAAACAAAAGTGGTAGGAAAGTGAATGAGGTTGACTAGGTCATGCATCAATATACATGAAACACGAAAAAATCTCAAATTAAATTTAAATGTTCCTATATCTTTTCTCAATGTAGAATTGTAACTGATATTTGTTGTGTTTCATTCCTTCCACTTACATATATGATTCCATTGATAAAAAAAAATATTATTTATTCTGAAGGCGTCCTTTCAAAGAACGAAACATGGGATTTTTCCATTTTTGTCATTTAATTACTCACATATAAGTACATCTGGAAAATTTTACAAACCTCAGTTGTTAATACCAATTTTATTATGAAAACATTGATTTTGCATTATTAAAATCTGACAGTGTATGTTCCTGTTTATATTTTTGTTGATAAGTTTGTTTTTTGTCTTGCTTCTTCTAGCAATCCCGTTCAACCAATCAGATTACAAGAATCCTTTCAAGGAAAAAATGGAAGAAATTATGAGTGAAACTGAAAACCATTTGAAGAGTTTTGAAGGTCAGTTGGATTATTTTATTTAATAATTTTTAATGTTTTACAGTAAAGAATGCTTTATATTTTATTCTTTTTTGTAAATATTGTGAGGATATTTCTGGGAAAAATCCTTTGAAGATGTTCCTTAAAGTTTTATGATAATTGCACTTCCTTCCATTTCAAAACTTTTCATCTTTAAATATTTGGGGGTTATAACAATATGTTAGCATATGCTAATAGCGTTAAGCTACACAGGCATTCAATATTAAGCCATTCAAATATTTATATTAATAACATTAATTATCATTAATATAAATGTTTACATAATTATTAACATATACGCCCAGTTAAAAGCAAATACTTGTAATAGATCAATAGTTAGTAACCTAATTTAATAAACCATTGCTCTTTCATTTGATCTTCATTAACTGACTCATTATAGTGGCTTTGAGGATAGACTTAATAATCATAAGTACGTATCCTCAGGTTTTAAATAAATGAAATGCGGCTTGGAATAATTTGGGTGTTGGATTTTTTTTTTTTTTTTTTAAATTCCAGTAAACAGAATTATAACAGAGATTGGAAATATCTAAGGAGGAGGAATAAGGAATAACATTAGTCTAGAATTTAATCTATTAGATTGAAAGAATGGTATGTAAACATACAGAAAATTATTTCAAGAGTTAAAACAATTTTATCCTATATTAAAAATTTTTCTGCAAATAAATATAAAAACTTACAAAATATGTTTCTAATGTCCTTCATTTGTTATTTTTTTGTTCAAAGATTGTCATGCATTATTGTCTATAAACATGAAGTAATTGCAAAAAAGCATGAATAATGTGGAAGTTTCAAACTCATCTGGCACACCAAATGTTCTTTTTTCAGCCATAGGTTTTTTTAATTGTTTTTAAAATAATTAGCAAAGTTAGCACATTACATGAATCAAATATGCTAATTTGTTATGATTTTTTTAAATTGTATCACTCTATGCAAGACAGTATAGTCACTAATAAACAAAAAGTCATCTACCCACTTCAACCTTTCTTTCTTCTAACATTGAAGAAAGGTTGAAGTGGGTAGATGGCTTTTTGTATCCACTCCAACTTCAGCAGTATAGAATCTTTTCTCATGGGAGGGCTGCTAGATATCCTTGCACTTTGGGAAACAAACTTAAATTCTGACATTGCTACCAATGAATTCTCTGTTCCAAGCTATGTTCCCCTTTGCTGAAAAGATTCCAGCATTCACATGCATGGCCTTGGTGTTTACATTCAGGACAATCTTTTGATGGCAAGAGACCCCAAAAGCCTCCAACATGTGCTTTTGCTTTTCATTATTACACTCTGTTAGCTATCTCTTTTTCCATTATTTCTCCCCCTCTTCTCAGGACTGCAGTGTATTAGATATAATCTCTGATCATATAAAGATGGCACTCTCTCTCGATCCATCTATGAACATCTTTGTCTTTGGTGGTTTTAATGCACACCATGACATGTGGCTTAAACATTCTAATGTTACTGATGTTGCTGGTATTAAGATATTAAATTTTTCCATTGCTCAATCCCTTACTCGAATCATGGATTTCCCTACACATTTTCCTGGCATACCCAAGCAACAGGCTTCTCTTGACTTATTTCTCACCTCTTCTCCTTGTTCTTGTTGAGGTTTGCAACACTGTCCTATTGGAAACTCTAATCACTTTGTAGTATCTATTGATATTTTGTTCCAATCATGTTAAAAGGAACCTCCTATTCATAAGACCTCATTCTGTTATCAGCATGCTGATTGGGACTCACTTTATGATTTTCTTCAAGACATTCTCATGACTGGTATTCTTAATGTTCAAATTGAGAATTGTGCCACTGAGGTTTCCTCTTGGCTCAAAGCTGGTATGGATGCTCTGATTCTTTATTGGAAATACCAGGTGAAACTTCAATCTTCTCCATGGTTCACACCAACACAATCTGCCCCTATAGAACACAGGAACCATTATTTTCAGCTATACCAGTACAACAACTCCCATCACAAAATACTTATTTGTTGCTGCTCCTAATAAATGTAAATGAGTCATCAAAGTAACTAAGACTCTGTTTGCTGAAAGAATGAGGCAGTATATTGCATTTAAAAACTTTGGGTCTCATGATTACTGGCAGCTCTGTAATAGTGTGTTAAATAAGTGTAAGTTCTCTATTCCTTATCTTTTCAATCTATTTGGGGTGTTAACATCTTCTGCTGATAAAACTGAATGTTTTGCTCATAAATTCTTCTTAAACTCTACCGTTGACTCATCTGGATTATTCCTGCCTAACTTCTCACCTAGAACTGAGTCCCTGTTGTGTGTTATGCATATAACCCTTTCTATGATTTCTGCTATGATCTCTAACCTGGATCTCCCACAAAGCATGAGAACCTGATGGTATCTACATAATAGTCATTAAGAAGTGTTCTTTATAAACTGTATAAGTGCCTCTTGCTTTCCTCATCTATTCCAGTTTTTAAGAACTCTGGTGAACCATCTGACCCTTCCAACTATTGGACTATTAGTCTTCTACCTTTTTTGAGAAACTCCTAGAGGCCCTAATCAATGCTGAATTGGCTAAGTAGCTCATGTCAGACAAGCAATATAGTTTTTGTTTCTCCAGATCTATTGTTGATGTCCTGATGATAGTTGCAGAAAGAGCCTATCAATCTCTAGATAAGAATGGTGATACCTGGGCATCTCAGACATCTCAAAAGCTTTCAACAGGGTTTAGCATACAGATCTTCTCCACAAGCTGAAAAGTTATGGTGTTTCTGGACAAATTATTGAACAATCTTTTCTATCAAATTCTGAAATGAAAGTAATCCTGAACAACCACCGTTCCAGTTCCTTCCATACTAATACAGGTTTCCCCCTTGGTCCTACTTTGTTTTAGATTTTCATTAATGACCTTCCTGATGATATCAGTATCTACACTAATGAAAAAGCCATTTACTCCTGTCTCAATAATAAGTCTGATCAATCTGATAAATGGCAGCTGATATTCAAAATGTCCTTCAATCTGTTGTTAACTGGAGAAAAGTATGGTTTGTTAATTTTAACACCTTCAAAACTAAACTCCTCTCTATTAATTATCTGAGACACATCTCTGTCTTTTGTATCAATAAAAAGAATACCCGCTCGGCCCGGTGGCTAGGATCAAAGTGTAGTATCTGCGCTTTGTGAGCTGCCGGGTCGGGTGTCTGTCGAACTCTCTGCATGCAGAGAGGAACCCGGACGAAGCTCCGCCGAAGGGTGGGGTTTCGTTGGGGGAGGTTGACGGAACTAGCCCGCTTGGACGGGTTTAGATGGGTTTTATTTTTGGCTGGGCCTACGGGCTCGGACATACCCACGTTAAAAAGGCCTTGTGCCGCATTCAATTCCTGTGGGTGAATTGATAAATACCATCTCTGTCTTTTGTCAGCGTGGCTGATGCTGACCTCCAGGAGTGTGACTCATGCCTTCTTGGGCTAATGTTCTTGGCTGACATAAAGTGGAAAGATTATATTGAATTAGGTCAGCTGCTAAGAAAGTTGGTTCACTGTGTTGTGCTAGACAATTTTTCTTTTCAAAATCTATCTTACATATCTATAAGTCTACTATTCATTCATGCTTAGAATATTGCTGCCATATATGGTCCAGTGCTCTTGCTATTTATCTAGAGGTATTTATCGGAGTGTACAATGGCCGAAACGTTGTGATAAATATGGCAACAAAGATGAGGACAATAGTCTGAACAATGTAAATAGTGTATATAATACCTCATTTCAAAAATATAGACACAGTATTAGAGTCTCACAAAATTACATTTGGGTTGGCTAGATGTACTATAAATTCTATACTAACAGTTTCTTTTCTTACAGTTCTCACTTGTGAAACTCAATTTTGGCTCCATGAAACCCAGCCAACTTTAATCTACAAAAATTTAAATGCAATGTCAATTGCTACATACTGCCCCCCCGATTACTCTTCTTTTGTTCTTGCTCTTTAGCAATGTTTCTGTTTCTAACTCTTCCACACCCAGTAACTCTTTGTGTCTTAATGCTCTGCATGGGGTGAACTCGATTAAACAGAAAAAAGACACAAGGGGAAGAACAAGAATAAAGAGAAACATCAGGGAGTGAGAAGAATAGAAGAATAATCAAAACAGTAGATAATGATTGACATTGCATTTAAATCTTTTAAGATCAAAGTTGACTGAAAAGCATAAGAATAAGAAGTGCAAGAAACAAGAATGCAAGAATAAAAACTGTTAGCATAGAGCTTTTATGGTTAAATTAATTTTTAGAATTGAATGAATTCTAATTTGAACGAACTTTTAAAAACTGTATTAACTCAGTTTCCCAATTATAAGTTAGCTTTTTCATACAATAACAAATCTTTTCTAGGAAGTTTCTATGAAAATAAGTGATCAGGGGTGGAATAAGAGTAGAGAGAGATGGAATTATTTTTTAATGAATAGGGAGATGGGGTATGAATATTACAAACACAAGAATACTCAAAAGAGTGGATTTCGGGTTAATACTAAAATCAAAGAATTTTAAGAAATTCATTTTAAAAATTAATTTGTAATTATTTGTTTCAGAGTAATTTTTGAGCAGTAAAATCTGTGCATATATTATAATATAAAGAAACTGAATGACAACAGTTTTCTTATCACTTTATCTGTTATTATGTAATTTATAAGATGATTGGATAAATTACAAGGACAGTTGGAATCATTAAAAGCTTATCACTCACCATAAATAGAATTGAAACCCACCAAATGGCACTAGTATATGCTGCTTTCTGCCCAAGTACATATTTCATTACATATAAGTTCTGAAGAAAAATTAATGTCATCTAATAAGATCAATGGCTGATCAAAAATTAATAAATGCCCAATTCCAACAAAATTAATCTCCTAGAAAAAATAAGTTAATATGGCTTTCATTCCTCCAGGTCAACTGCTGAGGTACTGATGATTGAAACTTCACAAAAAATGCTATAAAATATGGTATTCATGTCTAATTTGCAATGTTTTTTTTTTTCAGTTTCAACTGTGATTAAAAAAGAAAACTCTAAACTACTTGAGACAATAAATGTCTGCATTGATAACCGTGATGGAACTTCCTACACCAACTGGTTGGATGACCTCAGTAAAGGTTTTGATTTGTTGAATGATTATAAGATAAATTTACATTGCAAATGCTGCCTGTGGTTTCTTAATGTAAGTCCTCATTATTATTAGCTACTAATTTCCATATTTGGTCTCTCTTGTAATTGGCAACTAAAATCTGTAAATACATTGATTTTGTTTTTAGTAGAAAGAATGATAAAAGCAAAAAGGATTAGCTAAAAACATTAATGGGTTTGCTTGAAAAGAGATAAAAATATCTTTGTTTTCTCCACTCTCCAAGGTCCACATCAGGGATTAGTATATCTGTGATATACTAACACTTTAAAAACAACTGAACAAAGGAATAACTCAAATTCCAAAAATGAATAGTACGTGAAAACATTTTATATGCAACACTAAAATAAACAAACATTTAATATAAACTGTATTACATAAATATATATTTATCACAATTTTTTCCCACTTAGAGAAATTAAGCAAGCTGTATATGAAAGGACAAATATAAAACACCATAACCTGGATGAAGTTTTATGTTCTTTATTTAGAACACATGGTATTCTCTTGTTCATTGAACTGCTGCTAGCTAATATATTTGTTTCTCTTGTGGCCTAAGCAGAAACTGAACTATCCTCACCGATGGGCTGTCACATGACTCTCAGGATATTAGTAAATTTCTCCTGTGAAAATTGAAATTACTGCCTTTTGCATTCCTATAAAATAAAGAAATAAGTTTACCAAAATTTATGCAATCTTAAAAAGAGATGCCAGTGAAAACTCTTAGCAACAATTCCAGTCTTCTCCCAAGAAACCAATCAGGGTGTTACTGAGGACTGATTTTGTGTACAAATTCATTTGAAATATGAGGCTTGCTGATCTATTAGATTATTGTGAGAGAGAACAGTGTGACATTTCTTTCACACTAGAGTTTCACTATTAGTCATTGATGTATATCAAATACCAATTTATGTTCAAGATGACTGGTAATGAGTCAGGGTTGAAGTGGTATGTACATCTATTGTGAAGATATCTATACTACACTATGTTTTCAACAAAATAATACATGACAAAAGCAAAATACAAAACAGGTTTAAATTTATTCTATAAAATCTATATCTATAAAGCAGAAGATGTGTGTGTGTCAGTTTGTGTGTGCATGTCCACATTTCTCAGCCAATTTTGCTGAAATTGTACACACATATTGCAAATTTACCAACATAAGTCATGAACAGCTTTTCAATCTCCAACCCCCGCCCCCGTTTTGATAGAAAAATTGATAAAACTGAAGGTGGGTAGAACTTTTTACAAAAAGCAAGGCAAAGTTACACGAGAACAAAATTTTTACTGGATGAGTTGACATTCTTTGTACTTAATGCAAAACAACTCATGTTACAAAGTTTCTGTAGAGTGCTTGATAGTTTTCCTGTGACATTCGTTTCACACAAAAAATTGCAAAAATATGTGAAAAAAATAAAAACTTGAATAACATTATCATTTTTTATCCGATTTTCTTCAAACATGTGGCAAAAAATTTGCCATCATGAAAGAAATAAGAAAGTGTGGTTTCATTCCTGCTCACTTCTCCACGTATAACGAAAAACCAGGAAAAACTGTTCAAAAAGCCTGTATTTTTTACCATAACTCCCTGGTTTTTCATCCAATGGTTTCCAAATTTGACATGTAAATTACATATGACATACATTGTCTTGCATGAATGTTTGGTTTAGATTATTTCAGTTAAGTGGATGATATCTGTGACAAACTAGGTTCAAAATCGGCTTTTGCCATTTAAACAATAGTTTCTTCATATGATTCCATCCTAAATTGGCATTTGAACAACCTTTGATGCAAAGATTGTTTGAGAAGGATTATTGAAATGTTTAAAAGGAAAAATTCATGAAGAACCTCTTATTAACTGCAGCTTTACAGTAAACATGTAAAGAATGAAGGGAGGGGCATTGACGTATTTGTACTTGCAGTTGAATCAAGCTCTGATGCTTCATCCCTGTTTTTGTTTGATTATTAGATTTGTAAACAATGCCATACTATTTGAAAGTTATTACAGCCAGAGGAAATTTACTGAATATCTAAAACATTGAAACAATTTAACCCTGAGCAACGACCACACAAAAAAGTTTTATCGATGAAATTCCTTTATTAAGAACAATCAAACACTTGCAAAGGACATACCATAAAAAAGATGAGGTTGGAAAGTAGCTTAGTATACCGACAGATGATGTATGCAAGTGGAGATGCAAGCAGACATTTCTAGACAGTGGAGTGCAGTTATATACTTGTGGCCATGTACACCCAGGCAAGGCCGGGTACCTCAGCTAATGTAAAATAAAATAATAAAAGTTTGGCTGTTGGGAAAGGTACACTTTTTGTTAACAGCAGAGTAGTGAGTGTTCATGTTTCTGAAACAAGAAAAGTACTACGTGCTGCAGAGAATTCTTTTTTTATGGTTGATATCCTCATGCATTGTGGTGTAAGAAAAATGAAGATAGTTTCTTTTTAAAAGCACCAGTAAGTTACTACTACTAGTAGATTGCTATTTGCAACTACTACATATTTTCTCTACAGCCAATGATGTATCAGAGTCTAAACTCACTACAGAGTGATTGTATTACTGACTTTCTTAATGGCTTTAATACAAAGTTGTCATCAATAAATCTAACTAGAAGTTGAACTTCAGTTCATTGATTCCATTTTCTAATTTTAATTACAAAATATTCCAACATTTACTGTCCAATGCATACTATACCAAATCATTTTGATCCTTATCTTAAAATTTGATCAAAATAATAGAAATTGATTTGAAACTAATAGAAAGAAAATGTTCTTTCCAGATAAAATCCTTTCATCCATTTTGGAAATGCCAACATCTATTTCCAATCTGTGATTTACTTGATCTTGATTCTTTCTCCAACTGTAAGCTTCTTCAAAATCTATAAGGTATTCTGTATAAAAATAATTAATGTGCATATATTGAAAAATACTTTAAGATTTCTAAAATAATTTCAACCAAGGTTTTTGTATAATTTTGCATTATTCAAATTTTGAAGATGGTGACTTATAGAAGAAGTAGTGTCAGTAGCTTGTTTCAGGAAAATAAATCAGAATTCTTACAGTCCATAGTTTTAAGATATTGTCATGAAGAGCAAATGTACATACAACAGATTAAATGATCCAACACAAAATAATATTGAAAATATTTAAGACAAAGATAAGAGAGTTTGCTGCTCATCAAAGGGATATATGGTATATGGTTTGCATGCATTCAAAGGTAAATGAAGAGAGATAGTTTCAAATACTTTGATTTCTTGAATTGTTGAAAGAAAATACTTTGAAGTACTGCATGCTGGTTAGAGTCCAATAATATAATTGGCAAGTAATTTTACACTGGTGAGTGCTTCAACGCTGGTCACAAGGAACTGAAACAAATCCTTATGCATAACTTTGGACACACTTCTGACTAATTTAATTTTTCTTCACATTTTATATCAAAAAGAATTTCACATAGGCTTGCTACTTTCTTTCTTTCTTTCTTCTTGGCCCACCAGCTAATTTCTTTGAAGGTTTTCATTTGTCCTAAAACAATTTCACATAGGCTTGCAAATTTCTTTCATTCTTCTCAGCTCACTGGTTAATTTCTGTGAAAGGAAAAAATCTCACATAGATTTGCAAATTTCTTTCCTTCTTCTTTCTCAGTCCTCTGATTTTGAAGGGAGTGGGTGAAGGGAGTTATTATTTCACACTCACCCTACAGGTAGAGTAATATATCTCAATTTGCTGGAATGGTTCATTCTTTTATTTTGAAATATTTAACAAGGCTTTTGTTTTGTGTTGAATGTTAAATAATTAGGGTATTGAGGAGCTTAAAAGCATTTTCAATATATTTTTCTTCATCATGTAAATATTGCGGGCTACAAATTCTGAGTGCTCTTAAATAGAATCCTATAATTATCCCAGATTTTATTAAATTGTTATGATGAGAATAGAAATTTATAAGATCATTTTTATTAGTTGATTTGTGATAGACACTTAGTCATTATTATCATGAAATTGAGGAAAGATTATGTGTTGTTTGTTTCTGCTTCATGAGCAAAATCTATTGTATGTTTGACTTTGTTTTAGCTTATCTACAAGTTCAGGTAATGTTGTTTTGCAGAGATATATTAATAGAACATCATCAATATATTGGAAATATGTTGATTGTTTGGAAATGACCAGATTCAAAAAACTGTAAGAAAAGAAAAGCTAAAACTCTAAGAGGCGAATCCATTGGTAATCTGAAATTTTGCTCATGAAAATTGTTTAAAGTGAAATAGCATTTGTTTTGTGATGTGTCAGCAAATTTTTATATTAGCTATTGGTAGTGAAAAGTCTGATTGTGCTAGAGGCATTTTTTAAAATTTTAGTGACATTGGTATAAAGGGATTTAACATCTAAATCATCATGCTTATTCATTACTAGCAGTAGAGCCCAGCGTTGCCCGGGGATGTAACAGTATGAGATAGATCAAGTATCGACCATCATAAAGACTGAAAAACAAAATTGACAAAGATTATTGTTTATGGTTGATGGACACACATGTCTTAATTAGTTTTATTTTTTTTTTATTTTTTTTACGAATTGGTCAAACCCAAACTCAAACAAAAACATTGTTTTCAATCGTTATGAGTCTACCAATTGAATAGAATTTTATTATAAACAATTGTCTTGTAAATGGAATTTTTAAAGCATTCTGAATGTTAAAAATAAAGAAAAAAGTGTGCAAGACAATAAGAAACACTACCTGCCAAAAAAAAAGTGAAGTTTTGTTGAAATCAATTGAAAAATGTAGGAAGTCCGATCCCATTTATAGAACACACACACACACACACACACACACACACACACACACAAACAACCAACCTGGGTTTTATAATAAGTATAACTCGATAACTTGATATTAATAAGTATAACTCGATATGAGTTGTCCCCCTTTCATTAATTCCTCTTAATCGTGTTTTCTAATTGATTTCGTGCAAAAACAATTGTGTTTTTCCAATTTTTGGCACTGTCAGAACCACTGCAAGGTAATTTTACGCAGTCCTGTGAAGTTTTGTTGAAATCGGTTGAAAAATGTAGGAAATCCGATCCAATATATAAACGTACAGACACACACACACAATCTGTGTTTTATAATAAGTAAGATTTATAATACAGAATTTCTAAGATTGTTCAAAAAATTTTAATTATCCTATTTGAATAACTTGTTACTCTTTTCAAAAATGTAACTTTTTATAATAATCCTTAATTTGTGTTCTATTTTCTTCCTTTCTTTCTTTTTGGGGTGGGAGTGGACAATTCATTGAATCTGAAATTTCCAAGCATAAAATAACTAGGAGTAACTGAAAACTTCTTGACAATAACCCATTTCCAAAATTCTAATCAAATGACCAAATATTTAAATTTTTTAAACATTCTTTTTTGGTTGAACTGAGAACTTTCCAGACCCTCTCATCTTGGTATGTGTGACAATTGTCTTTTATAAACAGATTATATTTTCTTAAACTGATCCTGTCATTAATTTTGACCTATCCACTTTTTAATCAAATGTTTAATCAAAATATATTGAAACATTGTTGAAACTTCAAAAGTTTCCACAGAAAATAAAGCCCAGGGGTATATTCTTAGTTATCTAATGTAAAAGCTGTTTGTGTTTAGCAGTTAATGTTTTGAAGTTATCATACTGGAACTTATTAAATTATATTTTTTGTTGAAATAACTATTTTTATTTTGTAGATGTTACATAATTCTCTGGAAATAAGTATCTTTTGTGAAATAAAAAATGCCTTTGACTATATTGAACATGAATTGTTATACTATGTACCTGAATCCGAAGTTTATGAAACTCTTAAATCCTACTGGGAAGGTAAGTAATAAGTTTTGTTTATTAACATTGATCTTTTTTTCTCTTCTGATAGTTGCTACTTTGAAGTCCATTGCTTTGAAAAAATTGATATTTAAAAGCTAAGTAATCTTTTCATGTAATATATATATATCAACTGAAGGGACACAACTCTCTGACTTTCAATAGCTCATCTTCTATATAATAAATGCAAATGTCAGTGTGTCACACTTTTTAAACTTTACTACTAAAGGCCATAGTCCAACATATAACATTCTGGAATCAGGCAACTCCCTGAGCAAATTAAAAACATTCCAGGCTGGATCCAGACCCTCAATCCTGAAATTTTTGATTCCCAAGTTTTCATTACTGCAATTGTTTGCAGCAATATTTGTATGTGATTTTTTTTTTGTACAATAACAATTTTTATAACTTGGAAATAAATTTGGGAATAATCAAAATTAATTGTGAAATCCAGTGAAAGTTATCCATGAAATAAAAAAAATTGCTTGTACGGAAAGTAAGGACCTACATACATGAAATTGTCTTTAAATTAAGTGGCAGCAGAAAAATTATTGTTGAACTTTTAAAAGGTAAACTTACATATTAATGCAATACTTAAATGCAGTGATCAATTTTGAGTTCTTCTGTAATTTATTATTGCCTATTGCATCTATTCCTCTCTACCTATCATGATGAAGGCTCAATCAAGAGCCCTCAGTAGGACGACTTTTAAGCTAGTACACACACACACACATATACATACTTATCCATAATAGTGTGAGAATAGTGACTTTTTTCAACTATAAAGTCATTCTCTATGTTTTTTTTTGTTTTTTTTCAAGAGAATGGATACTTACCCATATATTGGATTTGCTCAGTATTACCATTATTCTGTCATTCTTTGTTGTCTATGACTTTAACATCAATGTCTAATCAAAGAACAAGGTACTCAAACATGTTGCTTCCTATGAAAATAGTATCAACTGTTATGATTGGTGCTTTAATATTTTTGAATTGTTTTTGCAGATAAAAAACATGATATGAAAATGTTGAGTGAGAAACCAAAATATTTTAACCATCAACTGGAGTTACTAAAAAATGCCATAGAAGAAGAAATAAAGAACAACCCATGGAGCAAGATTGTTGTTTTTGTAAAAACACCCATTTTAGTCAGTGCTATACTGAACTGGATGTTAGATGTTGAGGATCTAAAGTCATTGTTGCCATATAATCTGAAAAAGCCAATAGGTAAGGGTAAGAAACATTTAAGATTCATAAAAGTAAATCTTAATACTGTAATCAAGCTTTGTTCTTATTTTATTTGAAATTATATATCAGATGCCATTTTGTCACTTATGGCCACATCATCTTGAAGCCCCAGTTCCCATATGATCACCAAAGTTAAGCAATATCAAGCCTGATCAGTATCTAGATAGGTGACTGCTTGGAAATATCAGGTGCTGTAAGCTTGGATGTAACAGGTGGTGTAATGGATAATGGTCAGAATAGTTAAATGGAGGGCCAAATTCCAATTCCAGTTAGGTTCATTATATTCACTTATGTGCAAATACCCTTGGGAAACGTATGAATCCACCCGTTCATCTCCCCAGCTATGAGTTAATAATGGTTTAGTGATACAAGTCTTACTAATTATTTCAAAAAATTAAATTAAATTTCATACAAAATACTTAGATTGATATCCCACTAAACAAAATCAATGAACCCACCAATCATGGTTTTAAGTTTAATTATTTCTACTCCAGAGGCCTCATAGCAAATTTTTAATCTCTCTCTCAAAATTCATTCATGCATAAGAAAATCAGAGGTTCAAAAACTGTCTTTTCATATTCAACAAATGTCCTGATGTTAACAAATCATGAAAATAAAAAATGTATCTGTTACATACCACTTCTGACACTTGTATTGCTGATAAAAAGGATCAACCCACAATGTCTCTTTGTGGGCAAAGGAAGCTCCCTCTAGGATGGAAGTGTCAGTAGGGCCTGGTGTTGAAGCTTGTGGCAGGTCTTTTAGCCAAGACCCCTGATGATATTAGTGATTGCCTGCTTGCTACTTTGAGTGTCGCAAACAAGTTCTTTTAAGCAGTCATCTCAGCATTTTTTGTCATGCTTTTGCTTGAGCAGCAATGTTCATGATTGGCTCCTTTTAAATTGTATTTTATATTTTTGTGGGTATTTGTTTTGTGAACCAGAAGTGATGCTTAGAAACTCTGCACAGAAAGTGACTTTTTATTTTTAATTTTGCTCTCATAGCGTCCACATCCAGCTAACAAATTTTGATGTGGAGCAACTCAGAATGAGATCTAATTTAAAGCAGAGAATAGCATATCTAATGTACCAATATTTAAAACAACTAATCTAGCAACTATAGCACTGTTATATAAGAAATGAGTTGCAAAGTTTTTGAAAGTGTGTCAATTTATGAATGAAACAGTGAGTAGACTATACAATATAAGTTCAAATAAAAGTGCACAGTTGATAAATAGGCAAGCTGAGATGTTATGCACACAATTGTATAAAAAAACGTAAGAAAGAAGTAAATAGATTTGTGAGTTAAATTGAGAAAAATGTATTCATTCATAAAATTGTAATTCAAGTAATTTACAATTTTTATTTTTTACTAAATGAAGCAAAGAAAACATTCCAGAATTTAAAGCAATTAATACATTAATTCATACATTTTTGTGATTTGTTGTTAATATGAAACAAAAATTAACATGAAAAAAATTGGAAGTCTATAAAAATGCAGTAAACCTGAAAGTTATAGAGAGTAGGCAGGCTTGGTATGCAGTTATGATAAAGTGACATCAAAATTAATGCATACTCACCTGTTGTATTTTTGCTTGTTTTATCTCCTGAATTTACAAAAGTGAACATAAAAGATCAAGTCAATTGGCAAAAAAAATTTCACTTACCCAGTTACTGGTACACTTGTAAAATTTAAACAAGCTGAAAAATTAGTTGGGACATGTGACCTTACATACAGAGCAAATGTGTTGTCATAGTAGACAGAAGTAAAACAGTTTAGTGATAAAGTTCATTTCATTATGAGAAAATAGCAAATAAGTTTATTGTAAAAAAATAATTAATTAACCATATTGTTTGAGCTAGTTGGTATTTAAGTTACTACAATCTCTACACCTCTTATTCACTCAGTTAATGTTTACTGCCACACAATGTATGTGCATCTTGTAGCATATTGCTTATTGCTTCTGAGATACATGTGTATCTATTCTGCAGTTTTATTTAAGGTAATATAAATAGATATAGCAATATAGTTATTCACATTGTTATTTTTTTTTACTTTGATATAGAGAGAAGTAAAATATTTTTTTTTAAATTTATAAATTCAACACATGGCATTATGTAGAGAGAGACATACATACATGCATAGCTGTGCTTGTTTGTTGAGGCAGGAATGGGATTAATCTCAAGGTGAGTCCTGCCTGACAATGGATCTGTCATAAGGATTTGAGACAAGGTTTTACAAGGCCAAATGCTCTTCCTGGTGCCCAACTCAGACACTCACAGTAGTCCAAGTACACCTAGAATTTTTATCGAGACACCATTTCTAGGAATGTTACTATTCAAGGCTTGAGACCCCATCTTAGACTTATATATAAATAAAAACTAAAGAAAAACTAATATATACATAAAGGTTCCGATGGATATATTATCATCTAAATTATACAAAAATGAAAATAATTCTGACATCTCATTTTAACAGATATATTTACCAAAATTATACAAAAATATCTTGAAATACTAAAGAGTAAATTTATTCAATAAAATCACTGTTGGCTTCAACTAAGGCCTCCAGATGACTTCAGAATCTCCTGCTAACTCTTTTGTTCAGTCTCTTTGTTTAAGTTGGTGAATGCTGCCATAATCCTTGTCTTCAGTTCATCTTTGGTATTACAAGGAGTTTTGTTGGTCTCTCACTCAACTGCTCCTACACATAATAATAAAAGGGAATTGCAGTTTGGGGAATTAAGTGGCCAGATGTAAGGGGTGATGTGGTTGCAGAAATTGTCTAACAATCATGACTGTGTACTCCTGCTTGTGTGGCGTGGTGCAGAGTCCTTTTGCCAGACATATGGTCTTCCAGCAGCCACCATCTTGACCCAGGGTAGAACTACCTCCTCAAAGCACTTGATGTAGGCCTTTGTTTTGGGACTGAGGCCCTCACCAACAAATTTGGGAGTTCTTATCAGAACAATCAGAGTGAGTTTTTCAAGCTGCTGTACCTTCATAATCACCATTAGACTCATCCAACTCCTTCTGAATCCTCTGCACTGTCCTCAGATCGATACCCAAACACTCTGAAATGTTCATATTGGAGCTTCCAGTGCAAATAAGAAGAAATACAGCATGCCTTTTCCTAATTTCTGGAGTGAATTGTGTCATGGCACTCTTTTTCTCACAGATGGTGCCCAGTTGACAGTACTCTACTGTGCAGTCAACAAAATCAAAAACAAACAACCTTTTGCATGAAATTGAAAATATAAAATGGCTATAATTTATCCATTGCACTGTGTGTGTATGTATATATATAGGTGTGTGTGTGTATATATATATATATATATATATAGGTCATTGGCTCTTATAAGAAGTTCATGTCTTTTGACAGCTCTTGTTTTTCATCCTGTGGGATGACATGCCACCCTCCTAACCCAGAGAAAAGCTAGTAGGGGAGCTGGTTTAGATGCCAACCACCCATCCATGTCCCAGATTGTACTAGGTTACATGTTACCAGTAGCAGGCCTAAGCTTGATTTGAGAAAAAAAACAATCAAAAATCAAAGCCAGTGTCAAAGACGCATATTTGGAACATTCTTTATAATTTAATAAATTTTATTTTATTTACTGAAATAAAGCATAGATGATTTTCTCATCATAACTCTAACAAAATTTAGATAGTAAGGGTTCAAATATTCAAAGTAGCAGTGAATGTGTTAAACTTTAGAAATAGAAAATCTGGCATATAATTAGAGTAATTTGTGGTACAGGTATGTTAATAAAAACAAAATGATTTCCAATAAAATATATTTCATCATCTAAAAATAAAATAATGCCTTTGTTTTCAAAATGATCTTCATATACTCCTCTGCATTACTTCTGTTTACACTCATTTTTCTCTAACACTTCCACTGCTGTAGACATACTTATACATCTTTATGAAACTTACATTGCTTGCTGCTGTCATATATATACATTTTCAAAACACTGAAATGTTGGTTCCTAGTGTTTGTATTATAATACAGTGTTACTTCCAAACCAGCATAGACATAGTAGCAGCATTCAATGCAGCTCATTTTGTGACATATTTATTATTGTGTGTGGGAGATGTCACTTAGCTTAGTCTGTACTACAGAGTATTCAATCAAAATTTAAATGGTGATGCCCATAAAAAATCACTGTCAGCATCTAAATACCCAGTAAATAGACAAGATTTTTGCCAATTCAGAAGAATTATTTGATGAAAAAGTGATGGATAATTTCCTATTTTTTTCCCAAAAGATCTAGCACTGTTAGGTAGTAGTGCTATAGCAATGCAGCAGTAAAAGTATATTGTGCTTTCTTTATGCTCTCCTAACCACCTGGTAAAAGATTATCAGCTATTTTAAGATACTGTGGAAAGAAGGACACTATCAAATACATATTATAATTCAACAATCAGTTGAATGACTTATCCTTTTTCGTCTTTTTATGTCTTATATATACTACTGACAAGACTGATATTCAAAGTGATAGGACAGAGGGAGTTAGGTTCATGACTTTCTAAAGTAAAGTGATCTAAATTATAACTAATAAACTTTCTTTTACTGATTTTTGCTTTTTTTAGAAGATATATTTCCATGCTTTTTTTTCTTTTCTTTTCTAGACAGTCGATCAGATGTCTATAAAGATATGCTTGAGACTTTTGACAGGAGGGAATGTCAACTGTGTGTCGCCATTCCGAAAGACTGGAACAAGATACATCCAAAATACAACTTACGACTGGATTACTTTGATAGTAACAATGAAATGTCACAGCTTCCAGACGAAGGTAGATCATTAATTCTATTAATATTAGATGAAGCATTTGTCAGTTATTATTTTTTATCCAGTATTTCTTTTGTATTAATTTCTATCACAACTACACAGACCATCATATAGGGAGGGGGAGGCTCTTTCACCATCTGGTTAAATCGCCCCACATTGTGTTTTGATTCCTGTCTGCATTGGTGTGCACAAAAACAGTAAATAGCTTGATGTATGTTAAAGTAAAACAAAAGGTGAAACGAATGCCATGGTGAGAAAGTATAATACAAATCCTGTTTCCAATATATTTTGTTGTTTACTCAGTGATTCATAGTCTTTGGTGGGCGTGGGGTGGGGGGGTAACACTTGGTATACCATCTACTACTTCTGTCATGAGAGACTAATGGACAAGATCTTCTCTTTGGCCAATAAGAACACTGATTTCTATCACTCCTCTTATACATCTCTACCTTATGACTGACAGTCTGGAACTAATCTCAACAAATAACCTGTACACCATCAACAGATGCCATCAGAACTACTCAATTCTAGCTGTTATTACTTTTATAAGCCATGCTAGCAGAAGATTCCTTTTCTTTAATATCTATGATATCTTTAGGAAAGATAGTGAAATGGTTTCCCATTGCCTTCTCCAGGCTTTTGAACTCAGAATGGTACTCCTAGATTAACCAGCAATGTTCTTCTCATTCACCGACACACTGTACCCAGTCAATAGTGTATAGGTGGTGGTTCAAAATGCTCTGTAAACATACAACAAAACTCACTCTCTCAGCCTTTCACCACTTGGTCAAATTACCCCACATTGTGTTTCAATTCTAGTCTGCATTGATCTGCAAAACTGGAAAAGACTTAATATATGTTCAAGGTAAAAGGTGAAATTAACACCACAGTCAAAAATGATAATGCAATTCATATTTCCCATATATTTTGTTGTTCAGAATTAATATAAGTAAAAGGTTTGTCCCTTAGCTGATTGGTGTTACCTTCAGCATCTCAACTCCAGAGTTTTGTAGATGGACCTGTCTGTTCACTTGTTAGTGGGTATCAGCAATTGACTGTTTATAATTCTCGATTTTTCATTTTGATATGCTCTTATCATTGATGCAAGCTTTTTTTGTTGTTTTTTTATCATGTATGTGCGCGTTCATGTGCTTGTGCCCATGCACCTGTCTGTGCCAATGTGCGTATGTGTAGGGTGTCATGATTATTTGTCCTTTTCATTTTTTTTTTTTCTCCATTTTATACTCTCTCCTTAGTCTATTTTTCTTTTTCTTCTTTTCTTTCAATTGTTAACATTTGGCTTCCAGATTTATTTTTTTTTTAGACAGGCTGTCATTTTTAATTTTTCAGAGATTTACTTACATGGTCTTGGAATGGGGTAGTAGGTGGCAATTGGGACAACTTCAGCTACTTTGGTCACAACAAACTAAAAATAATCTCTTACTTTTGGCCAGCAATAATTGACTTTCCTACCATCCTTCTTCCTCTCTACATTACAATGCATAGCTCACAGCTCATCCAATAGTGGCCCAAAACCTTTCTAATGGGCAGTCTAGAATTCTCTGCCCATTCTGTGATTCTTCTAATATAAGCCTGTGACTGAAACTTCCTAACTTCCAGCCAAATGGCACTTGATCCCAAAAGTTATTTATCTATTTTCTTTATTTCCTTTTGGTCAAGGAATAACTTCTTTGAAGATTTTCCTTCTGATCATAAAAGCAACAGCCACTTCAGACTCGGATGAAATGATTTAGGGTCTACATCATTTGTGTGTTCTAAAGATGGCTTTGTGTCATAATTCTAGTTAAGTAGTTGTGATAGAAAGCAGTAGAAATTAAGATGAACAAAAAAATACTAGTAACAAATTAATAATAAAAGTTGATCATTTCTAAGGGTAAAAATAAAAACATGCAATGCTTGATTTATCCCAAATTTCACCAAATGTAATGGAGCATTGTTAAAATTCAGAGTAATATTTCTGAAAACATTTGGTTTCTTCTTGAAACATGGACCTCTATGTGCCTTAAAAAACAAAGAAAATGTCAATATCTATCTCAGCTGACATTTTAACATCATCTCAATTATGATCCCACTGCTAAATATTACAATACTTCTATCTTGATTTAAGATAGTGGCCACCTATCCTTTGCATCCCTCCATCTGGCTTATCACAAATTACACAGCAGAATGGTTGAAAAAATTGATCTTTATGTATTCTGTTACCTAATTCATTGTATTCTCCTTATAAATGACATTTAAAGAGGCCAAGTGATTAATTACACATTTTGTTTGTCACTTGATTTACAACTCAACACCTTGTGTCTGTTTTTTCCCACTTCCTCATAGCCACAATAATTAAAACTGTCATAGTTTAACAAAGATCTTCTATAATGTCTTTCAGCAAACATAGATAAACATGCCCGCAATAAGACATAGTGTCAAAAGGATGGTTTTTTTCCATGACACTGCTTTTTAACTACCTTCATTCTTTGGCAATGTTTACTGTTTTAAAAAGTGATGATTAGAATTGTAATAAAACCTAAACATATGAAAGTGAATTTATACATTTTCTTTGTTCTTGAGAATTGATAACAAAAATAATAAATACTATTTACTGGATGAGCTGCATTCCTTAGTTCCACCAGTCTGGACTTCCACTGCTAGGACCTGCCATATCATATACACTAATTCTAATAATTCCCTTCATATTCCATTGGCAAGGAGGAAGTTAAACCCAGGCAGCTTCTTCCCCAGAACTGCAGGATTGTGGTATGGATTCTTGAGAGAATGAGTCCTCAATCATGACAATCTTAACCCCATCAAGTCTATAGTTAAATGTTATCTATCTTACATATCCTCATAATATGTATTTCTTACTCCCTCCTTGTGTTCACTTAAAACAATTTAATTCAGTAACCCTCTACCTTGAGTGGTTGTTGGGCCTTGTGTGACACTGGGACCTCAGGGTGTTAATAAAAAAAAAGGAAAAGAAAGAGGAAACAGTCTACTAAGTGAATGATAATTGTTGAAATTCACAGGAAGAGGGATTGAAAAGTTGAGAAGAAAAAAACGAAATGTGTTGAAAACTCATGTTTCAAAATAATAAAGGAACTCCTGAACAGTTCCAAAGAGAATCAAACCCAAATTTAACTAAACTGAATTTAAGATTGAGTAAACTGTTGTAGCATACCTACGGACAATAATGGGTATGTCCCCATTCACATAAATATAGTATTAAATACTGTATGTTGGTCTGCAGTTGGAGATTCATTGTGGAATTCACTTGACTCACTTCTAGCAGTTGACTACTTCTTCTATGCACTGCTGGTGAATCTTATATGTGTTATTCTTGTGCTAAGTATTATCATTTATTACCAACCTTCGTTTGATTATTCCATTCAATAACCTTCCCTAGGTTACAACAAAAACCATGACTACCTGTCCTTCCCCAGTTCCCTCCAATAGAAAGAATCATTTAATGTATCCTCAAAGATGTCAAATAGAAAAACATGTTTTCAGTAAAGAAACTTGGATATCACAGAAATAGCATTTAAAGATCATTCCGGACAAAGCCAGAAAAAACATTTGGTTTGAATCAGCCACCCAGAAGAAATGTATCCCTACATAGATACAGATTAGCCTGACAGGGTCATTCATTTTAATTTTTGTGACATTCATAAAAAATTTTATATTCAACATTAATTCAGATTCTTTGGATACAATTGATAAATGAAAATTAATTACTAGCCCTGGAGTGACCATAGGCTGAGTGATCTGGTCAATTGAGAAATCACAGCATGAGACAAGCTGATGAAGAAAGATTAATGACTGGAAATTTCCTTTTCGCCCATGTATTTTGCAAATTTGGATTTGTCACAGGGACAGTGTGATGACCCTTGGAGTGATCTGAAGTCAAATGCTGAGAAAGTGGGAAAAGGAAGAGAAAGATAGAGATTAGCACCTCCTATATGGAGCGATTGTACAAGATGAGACATGAAGGGAGTTGGAGTTAAGGGGTGGCTTGATTCTTCTGACCACTCTCAAAAAGGGGGCAGGACAACCCCCAAATTTGGAAAATCACTCAAGTAAATATATTTTGAGAATATGGAATTTTAGAAAAATGTTTATGATAAGGGTGGAAAATAACTGAACACAGATCCCAGTCAACCTCACCCCTGTTGGATGCAAGACTCCATATAAGCTTGCAGTTTGGACAACTTGAAGAATCCCCACACTACTGCGACTGGAATCCACATCATTTGCCAAGACATCCTGACCAAGACCTTGTGCTGGCCCTGAAAACCAGAACTTAGAAATTTAAATTACTATTAACACGAGCTGCAAACTCCAACAAGTGTCATTTGTTTATAACTGTAGTAGGAAAGGTTAAAACTGCTGTATACAGTAAATCATATATAAACCAGATCATCCTTACATTTTTAATCCAAGTTAATTCTTTATTCAAAAAAATCTTCTTTTTTTTTGTGTGTGTGTGTGTGTAGCTCCCAACCATTGACATGTCTTCATTTCAGTCAGTTTGCTCACTAGTAACCATGGTGGTCTTAAGAGGCATGAGAACCAATGCAGGGGTGTGGGCTACACTTGTATTGAGTGAACAAAAGTATAAAAATAGGTACCTACATAAATTTGTGATGCATAGGATTTAAAGCTTTTATTTTAGTTTTAATTTTAAGTTAATAGATTAAATTTAATAATTCTTTGCTTTATTTCTAAACTAATTTAAATTGACTGGAAGGAGCTTTTTTAACCCACATTTATTGCAATGTAATTCTCTTTGTTAAAAAAATCTTTCAAAAATTAAATATACTTTTCTGAAAATTTATTTGAGGAATATTAGCCGATTTAAAGTATAATTAATCTGATTTGAAACAAGTATTAATTACTTTAAGTGTAAAATATCACAGAAATGCATTTTTTAAGACAGCAGTAGCTGTTTATTTAAGATGTTGACAGCTTGATGACAGATGGATGTTTATCTAATGTTTTTCTACAGGGGTGGGATTATGTATGTAATACATAATTGATGAATATAACATGAGTGCCTTTTCATATAATTTTTAAGTACTCAGTAATCTTAAAAATTTAGGAAAATATTCTCTGTAATCTAATGTTTTATTGAATTTTAGATATTTTGGCTTTAAATTTACTGTAATTATCACTCTTATTTTCTGATAATATTGTGTATGGTTGCCCATACTTACAAAAATCAGTACATTTATATACACATACAAAAAATTAAAAATTCTTTTAAAAATATTGGTGTTTGATGAATTGTACTAAGCTTTTACATTTATGATTAGTAAATATAGATTTTACTTAATGATAATATCATCTAAAAGAAAAAAAATTCTAAAATAATTTAATTCATTTGTGAATGAGTTCTGAAAGTTTCATTAAAATCCAACAATTATTTGATTTTTGTAAGAATTTCCAAATCAATGTGTTTTTTACCACAAAAAAGATGCTAAAATTTCCTATACTAATCTTTGATCCCCCTGCTGATGCAAGAAAAACAATATTTTTAACCTAAATTTCAAACATGCTAGAAATGATAAAAAGATTTAATAAAATAATTAAAAGATACTTTGGTCTTTCCTCTTAATACCATAAAGATTTTGTTTTTATCAAGTTTAGGGCCTTTTTCATCATGGTATGATCTTTTTTCAGCAAATTAGTGGAGGTGCCTATATAAAAATATAAAAATGTGTATATACATTGTATAGATTAACAATCAGCTACAAAGCAAGTGACTATTACAGCTAGGATTAATAGTTAATTGATACTTTTAAAAAGCTATCAAGTTTAACAACTCAAAGTGACTTTGCTTTAAATAACTAAGACACTGAAGCCTTCAGATGGGGGAAGAGTAGTTTTCAATCTGAATTATTTTTAATATTGTGTTTTTATTTAATAAGGAAATTCACTTAGTTTTTGGCAATTGCCTTAATGTATATCAAATTAATCATGATGAAGCAATTGATAGTGAGAGCCACTGTCAGACAATGGATTTCTTCTGTTAATAAAAAATTCATTATTTAATTGTATCTCTATGTGCATTTACATTTATGGGTGGTATAATGGTTTTCATCCACAGAAAATAGAATTGACAAGCTGAATTCAAATTCTGCCTGAAGCTGTGTTGATGTCACACTAATGCCCTTGAGTAAGCATCAATCCACCCCTTCTTCCGGACTAGCTAAGGGCAAAATAACCTGAGGCTCTAAAGCAGGTGTGGCCAAACTTGCTTAATGTAAGAGCCACATACAATAAATTTCAGATATTTGAGAGCTGGGATGACAAAATTTACACAGACGTTTTTGTTGCATACACAGGAATATTATACTTATGTTTTAATCCAATGGTCTTTTTCAATTTATACCCAGTAAATAAATTTTAAAGCTTGAAATTTTTCTTATTTACCATTTATATTAACTATGATGAAAAAAAGAGCTCAGTCAACATATTTCCACAAAATATTAAAGGTCAAAGAGTCACATGTTGCTCGCAAGATGCAGTTTGGTTACCTCTGCTCCAGAGCTTTGTTGGGGTAGTCAATCTAGGAGAAAGCTCTACATTCACCTGATCCCAGCAAAAACATCATGGGTCAGAGTGATAGGGTAAGCCACATTACACCCTATGCTTGGCAGACATTGGTGAAAGCCTGAGTTATTTCATGATCTGAGGAAATATTGATAATAATTAATATATGCATTTAAACAATCAAGAATCAACCAAATGTTTTTAACCTTATGTTTTCTGAATTTAGTGAATTACCAAATAATTCTGATTTATTTGTTCTTAAATACTCCACAACAGAGGTTCAATTAATAATGAAATATGTATGAAATTTCAAGCATGTGAATATTTCCTTTTCATTTCAGGAATGTTCAATGATAAGACTGCACAGGTGAAAGAAGTCAGTTTACTGCATGAAGCAATGAAAAAATGGAAAGATTATGCAATGGAAGATAATGAAGAATTCCAGCATGAAATCACAAAGTATCAGAGAAATGCCAAATGTAAACATACCAGTACATAGTCAAACTAATATCATTCCTTAAATTAAGAAGAATTTGAAATTTATTGTAAAAAAAAATTTATTTGCTTCTCTTCTAAAATAAGAAAATTTAAAGGAAGAGTTTTTTTTTTTGTCTGGAATGTTCATTTTCTTGAAAAAATATTTATCAAAGTTCAAAGTATATACAATGTAACAATGAATGAGGCAACATATTGGAAGAAAATTTTTGTTACCAGAATTAAATATTAGTGCTATTGTCATTGTTAATATTTCTCTGAGAACATCTTATATGGATCAATGGCATTTCGTGCCATTCTTTAAAATGATTCCTGAAGCAACTATGGCAGAATTGAAAAAGATAATTGCAAAATAATATAAAGAAGGAAGTACTCTGATTGAAAAGCAGAGGGCAGAGGTTGATTTTTCACTTTTTTTTAGAAAATCAACATTGCATTCTGGGTGAAAGCTGGAGATTTGATGTGATAAGTACTGACATAAATTTTACCAATTTTTGAGCATTTAATTTTAAAGATTGTCTTAAAAAATGTGCAGAAATACCTAATTTTCACAGATTTTTTGCTTACAAAATTTCAAAATTTTACTATTTCAAGAATATATCCAAATAAAGTTGATATCATTTGTATCAGATATATTGAAAGGAAAATATATTCAAACCAGAATTCTAATCACCACAAGCAAAATATGCAATTTTTTTTACTGTATTCAATAAGTGAAAACTTTTAAAAAAATTGTAAAAGATTGCAAAATAGGCTACTCAATGAATAAGATTTGTTAGATCATAATTAATAAAAAACAAAGATAGATAAAACTGTATATAACATCATAATACAGCTGGACACAAATTATGAGATATAATGTTTTAAATTTGCATTGTTTATTGAAAATCATGCTAAAACTACTGTACTGTATAATATATTACATCATAATATAGCTAAATTGTTCAGTATAATATCCGTTTTAAGTAAATGAAGATTTTATTTGATAGCACAATGATTTTGTAATAATGTGCCTGTGCCATGCATCTTGTCCATATAAAATTTGTAAAGTTTCAGAAAATTATAAATTTTATAAGGCTGTGTTATATGGCTTTCACTCATCACTGGAATTAAATTACAACACAATGATTTTGAACTTATACTTAACCTACAAAATGGTTTCCTCAAAATACAATAACACTTTGGAAAAAAATATTTTATGACTTTATTTATCATGTCAAACCATAACTTTTAAACTGAGTGCAATACCACGGTTCCAAAATCAACCTGCTCTAATGCACAGAAGCAGCTAAAGAGCCTAACAAGGAAACATATCAGGCAACACTGATGAAAGCACTGTCATGAAACAGATAAACACAAACAATATTAACACATTATTCTGATTTATTACCATGCTTTTTTTCTTTAATTCAAAGATGACTACATTCTATGATAATTTGATAATATGCTATTTTCTGAATTTTTATTTGCTTTATTTTATTTTCTTATATATTGTTGGAGAAATGTATATATTAGAACATTGTTTTCCTTTAACAGAAAAATCAGCTATTGAAACTTCTAATAACATCTTTGTCATTCACTCTTGTTGCTACTATGTCAGAGATTGTGTGTTGAACAAAAATTAAAAGTGTTGAGTTGGAGAAAAAGACAAACAAATTAGTGAAACAAAATAAAATAGAAATATTTATTCTATTGAGAACATTTTTTTGTTGTAGAGAAAATTTCAAGGTATGTTCTTAAGAGTCTCTGTAAAGAATGAAGGAAAAGTTGAACTTACTCTGCTGGTGAATTAGCAATCAAATGAGGTGTACTGCCCATGCCATGTGTGTATATTGCGCAGAGAGCTAACTTTAGCATCCTATCCCAAATGTCAGCCTGCAATGAAAGAGAACACACATGCTCCTAGTTTTTAAACTTTTTATGCAAACCCAAAAGCTGAAAAGAGGTTACTGTCACTGATATGGTTATCGATGCATGCATGTCTAGTGAAAAATTTTAATGTCTGCTACATCCTTAAATGGCAAGCACCATCAATTGATTTTTCATTGGAGATCAACGAATATTATCAATTAACAATTTACAATTTTTTTCAACAAGATAGCCGTCATTAATTCATAAATCAAGTCTAAATAACTAATTGGCAACTCTAGAATTCATAAGTTTACATCCTTCCTGTTAAAATCATCTAAGAGCATGACAAAACAGTGCTATATCTGTATGTATACTTTTTGATGAGAAAAGAAACAAAACATGGTGAAAACTTGGTGCAAAGAATACACAACTCCATTGTGTATGGAATGCTTCAATGTGTATCACATTGTTAAAATATTAAATTTAGGAACCAAACATTGGTTTTATTTTATTTTTTATTTTTATAATCTAAAACAGTTAAACTATCATTTTTATCATTTTTGCATATAATTTAAGCAAGAATAAGCATTAAACTTTTATTTAAAAAATGAATTTTCTTGCTTTTTTTTCTCTACCATAAAATAGCAGGAAAAAGTTGGCACTGATGAAATTAGCTATTTCCCTATCAGAAGCATTCATCATTTTTTTACTGAACAGGTAAGGTTACTATCAGTTGAAATTTATAAAAAAAACTTTTCTTAAATATGTTTTAAGAAAATTAAACTTCTCAAATTCACTGTTATAGGCTTTTCTTGTATTAATAGAGATTTCTTTGTAAATCTTTTATTTAAGTTTGTGTGGAAAGTATACATATTGATTATACTAAAAATTCCCATTGTAGTTACATGTGCTACCCATAAAGACAATAATCTTTCTAAAAGTAACAATTGTTGGAGAATTTTATAAAGTTATGTGTGAGAAGGAAAATAAACTAATGAATAAAATAACAATAAAAGATAATAAAGAATTTTATTTTTCCATAATGCAAAAGGAAACCAAAAGGGGTTTCAAGTCATGTAAGAATTTTATGACCCCACTTCCAGAAAGGAGATGATTGGTCTCTTCTCATTTTCCAGACATTAAGTTCTGAAATGTTTGGTAGCCATTCCAACAAAAGGGAAACTCAATCACCTTGACTCAATCTCAGACTATTCTCTATACCTCCACATCTTGTACCTATGTGAATTAATAAACATTGGCTATTCATTTTCTAATCAAGTTTTCATTTTGCTTGTGGTCCAACATCATTCAACTTCTGTTAGTGACACAAAATCTAATACAAACCCTCCACAGTTGATATTATTACTTTGAAACTCTATAATTACACTTTTACTTTGCGTTATTTTTCATGTAATGTGCATTTTGATTAAAGAACATTTGCTGTTATTTCAGTTTCTTGTCATGATTTTTTATTAATTTATTAGTTTGAGTCATAAATAATTTCCATTTTTGTTTATCAACTTTATTCTTCAGAAAATGAAAATACAATTACATTTTATTCAATTGTATATTTACCATTATTTACCAATGACTTGTTGCTATCTATCAGGCAGCTCTTCTATACCTTTTGAGTAAAATTCTGCAGGTTTTGATGGCAACAATTTTTTTGTTGGTTGGTTCAAGGTCAGGTGAATATGGTAGATAAGAACAGACCAACTGAGTTCCAAAATCTTTCATGTCTTATTCTTGCTGTATACAGCCTTGTGTAGTCATAGAGGGGAACAACATTCTTCTTTTAATCCACCATGTATGCTGCCATTGCCCTGCAATACTAAGGTATGTTAGTGCACTCCAAATTTATTAATTCCTGCATATGAATCAGTAGTTAGGATGTTACCATTAACATTACAATTGGTTCCCAATAATGAAAATTACTCTTGGCTCAACCTACAAGGGTGAGATGAAATGATTGTAGGCTGACTACAAGGGAGTGATGCTAGAGCTGAAAAAGTTTGCATGCATTAATTTCAATTCTTAATAATCCCATTGTTTCTTTGCAGGTAAACTGATATCTGACTGTTTTAAGAAAGCTTTAAACTTAACTGGTAGCAACTTAAAAATGAACAAAATTTGGTATCATTGTGTTATCAAATACCTGTAGTAAAAGGGGTTAAACCCCCAAGGACTTTCATGCTGATATGGTTGCTACATTAGGGGATGACACTTCAGCTTTATCAACAGTGAAAAAGTGTGCAGCTGAATTTAAGAGGGGAAAGAGTATGTCCTGAAACTGTCACCACTGAGGAAAATGTTGTGTTCACCACATGTTGATGGATGACAGGCGATGGACTATAAATCAAATAGCCAATGCTCTTAGTATATCCTGTGAGTGAGTTGAGAATATTCTGCATGATAAACTTGGCATGACAAAGATTCCTGCTTGGTGAGTGTTATGTCTTCTGACACATGATTAAAAGTGCTCCAGACTGATCACATCACAGGAAAATCTAACCTTATTTGAGGTAGATTCAGCTGGTTTCCTAAACCAGGATGAGTGTTGGGGTTATCACTTTGAGCCAGAGTCAAAAAGACAATCCATGCAGTAGAAACACCCTTCTTACATGCTTCAAAGAAGGCCATGGTCATTTTAACTGTAGGAAAGTTGTTTGGGATACAAAAGGCATTGCGTCTATTGACTATCTTCAATAGGGCCACACCTTCAATGGCGAGTACTATGCCAACTTGCTGAAGCGAAAAGCTATTATCAAGACCCAGAAAAACTAACAAAAAGGGCTTTATTTCATCAGAACAATGCTCCAGCACACAAGTCCTTGGTTTCAGTGGCTGCTGTGGCTTTAAACCAGGTGATCACCCTGTCTATTTTCCTGATTTGATCCCATCTGACTAGCATCTGTTCATCAATATGAACGCTTGACTGGGAACCAATATTACAGTAATGATGATGTGCTTTTGATGACTTTTTTGACCAACAGGATGAAAGCTTCTTCACCAATGGGATCCAAGCACTGTAACACCAATGGAAGAAGTGTGTGGACTGCAAAGGGAACTATGCTGAAAAGTAACTGTCATGGAATGTGACTAAATGAGGTTAACTTAGTCAACCTATGAACTTTTCAGTTGACCTTTATAATATATTGGAAATAGTACCAGAATGCTTTGCTAGTATAATGTATGCAACTTCTATCTTTGAAAGAAATTAAACATGTTATTGTACATATGCATAGAGTTATCAAATATGCAAATTTCTAATGCTTTGTACAGGAAATATATACTAAATTTCCACTCATAAATGACTAAAATTGTTGAAGCACCACAGTGGGTGAATCTAGGGTAAAATAGCTTAATGGAGCACATCTCTCTTCAGACTGGTTTTGGATTCAGAAGTTTCCTTCTCTTAGTGTGGTTGCCATCCAAGACTAAAGAACCCTGTTATTTAATCTATAGCTGGTAAGTGAAGAAATCTATTTATGCTTTTCTCCAATATATTTGAGCAAAAATGACTGAAACAAACTCAGCTGGAATTCAGACTTAGATCGCTGGTTTCTTTCTCTGAACCATTAACCATTACACTTTATGAATGTCTGAGGAAATGGTATGCAAGTGGCATTGTGAGTATGTATGTATAAATAAAAAAGAATACAAGAATGTGTGTTTAGATCAATTTTTATCTTTATATATTTCATATACAGACAAAATCATTTACTGAAGGTAAAAAAATTTGGCTAATGTTTGCCATAACATTAAATCTACAATAGTTTATTGATAAATTTTGGGCACTGTTTAACCATTTTGCTCAAAAAAGCCAGTATGTCAAAAGGATGATTATTACCTTGACACCGCTATTACTGCATATGCTTATGACTCCCTCAGCAATGTTTATTGCTTTAAAAAGTGATGATTATAATTTTAATACAACCCAAACATAAAAGTGGATTTATACATTTTCTTTATCCTTGAGAATTGACCATAAAGATATTTAAACACTATTTATTTATTAGATTGCTTATTTGCAAGGATAATTTTATATTTACAAGGAATTGTGTGTATAAAAAAAGTAAATGAATAAAAATTATAGTGTCAAAAATAATTCTAATAGTATAGTTATAACAGCTATAATTATCATTAATTCACTCTTTCTAAACCAGTGAGAATCAACTCCATTTCTCTCCTCTACACACACAAACATGTGACATTCTCGCTATCAGACAAGCAGTCAACATGGACAGATCACCAACATCTGCATCAGCAAAAATTCCAGCTCCTTTTCCTTTTTCAGGCCATAATAGTAACATTTATCTCTTAGCACTCAACAAAAATTTGAGGTAAGAAAACCCCAGGCATTTCTTTGTATTTTCCAACTAAATTATCTGGTCACACATTACAGACATCTATGAAAAACAGGTGAGAAATACTATATACATTTTCTTTATTATTTAGAATTGACAACAATAGTTTATTGATATTTTTTATAAAACTATAACTAAAAACTTGTTTTCATAGTTATTTATAAAATGGTAAATAATAAATATTGAATTGTAGTTTATATATTTTGATGATTTGTAATTTTTTATATAAATTTTTGAATAAAAAGATTTCACATTTATTTCTTTATAAAAAGTAAATAATAAATATCACATTATACTTGGTTCACATATTTTTATAATTTTGTAAATAAACATTGCCAAATGAGTTAAAAGTGTATAACCGTGATAGTGGTGTCAAGGGAATAACCATCCTTTTGCCACTTTTTTTGTAGGTACAAATGTTAAACTTTGCCAAATTTTGAAATTCAGAAAATTCAAGTATGAAAACAAAATTTTGTTTTTTTTAAGAAAAGTGCCACTTAAATAAAAATGTCTTTAATGTGTCTTTATTTTAATTAAGCTATTAGCAAACCCACATTTGGAATGAAATTCTGTAAATGAAGACATTCAATATGAGATATATACGAGACAGTATTGTAATGTTCTCGGTTCAATCCACTTTGTAAAATCTGACAAAAATGATCAAATGTCAGATTTTTTAAAAAATCCTTTCTTGATTGAGCCATAAGCTTTTCAGCACCCCTTGTACTTACATTGCATGCAGTGAACAATTAAAGAATTTCAGTGTAAGCAAAATTGTTTTAAAATATTCTTAACTATATTTCTGTGTCATTTAATTGAACTGTTTCATTTTTTTGTCTGAAAGTAAAGCTTGAAGATGGGATTTAAACTATGAAGAGAGTATAAAATCAAACATGGCTAATCATGCGCATAATGACAATAGCCATGTTTTTCACAGAATTTGAATCTGTACTACCTAGACCAGGGATCAAAATTACAATTACTATGCCACTGAATATCACAAATCAGCACTTTAATCTGTATCAGATTAAATTGCTGGTGGCTGGTCACCTTGAATGCTCATTTTGATCTGGCAACTGACCAGCTTTGTAACTTTTGCCAGATTTGATACAGACATTTTGCTGGAATTTGTCAGTCATCTTAAAGGTCTCTGAACTGTTTCAATCCCTCCCAGCATAATAATTAAATAAGAGTAGATGGTACAAAACCTGATGGGAAGCTTTGCTCGAATTTCTGTCAAACAACACATTTATGGTACATAGTTCCGTTATAAACAAAGAAATGAGTAATGAACTCTT